AAACCGGGTCCGGAGTAGGTTTTTGAGAAGGGACTTAATTACTGCTTGCTTAAAGGACTTTGGTACATAGTACCTCACACTGATGATTAGAATTGTATTCAGTACTATTACTATTAAGTACTTTTTATAAAGAGCATCATTTTTTGAATGGGTTCTTAAATATAAATTGTGGGTTTAGCTGATAATTGAGAAGCTGTCTAAATAAATAACAGGATTCTCAGTTCCTCAAATTTCTGTGCCTGATGATATGCACATCAATTGAGGGATGGCATTTCCTAAGGCACAACATTTTGCCAGCTGTCCGTCTTGGATAATATATTTGTACTCCTCATATTTTTCTAATGTAATATAGGGCTGCAACTCATGATTATTTTGATATTAGATTCATCTTTTTGATTAATCGATTATTAATCAAAAAAAGACAAAAGCTATATTTGACCCTTTCCAACTGTTTACTTGAAAAGCAACTTCCATCTTCTTGTACAATGCTGATTCGACATCTGCAACTTAATTATGATTCCAGATTTAGATATCTACAATTTAATTCTGACTACTCATAATCAGCTATCTTAAATTCACCTAAATTCGAGATACCTTAAATTAAGTTTGAACTTGTCATTATGGTGTTGTTAAGTAAATTCTGGATAGTCAAACTTTCAAAGGTCCTCAGTATATACCCCCCTCTGTTGTCTTTTTGTTACACTCAAGGTTGATAAAATTAAGCTGGTGTTGTAACTAGGAAACTGAGCTTCTTTATCTCAACAGGAGTCGTGGGCTGAAACAGCACAGGAAGCCAGTGTGAGTGATAACCATCCATGTAGTCATCAGGAGGAACAACCAGCATCTGCTCAAGAAGGAGAAACTGCTGCTGCACAGCCTGAAACCTCAACAGCTCTGAATACTAAAGAACAAGAGGAGACAAATGGAAACAGAGACAACAAAGTGGAAACTGAGCTACAGGAGACAAAGGGAGGAGGGGGAGAGAGTGATGAAGAAGAAGGCAAAGGACTGAAGAGGAAGAGAGAGGAAGCACACAAGGAGGAAGAGGCGGGACAAAGCACTGAGAAGAAAAAGGTAAAAATTCACAGCTGGTTAAGTATTTTAAGTAAGTCAAGAAATATTTTGTAATCATCACTTTATTGAGTTCAATCATTAAGACACAAAATAAGAGTCTAAGAGTCTTTAAGGTTCAGTGTGTCGAATTTAGTGACATCTAGAGGTGAAGGTGCATATTGCAGCTGAATACCTCACCCTACCCTTCCCAACATGGAAGAGAACCTGTCGTAGACTTCCGATGTCATAAAACTCAAAAGTTTTTGTTTGTCCAGTCTGGACGAATGTAAAAAAAAAAACAACAAAAAAAACATGGCGTCTTCCGTAGGGAGACTTGTTCCTGATATAAATATAAAGTACCCATTCTAGGGTAAGAAACAACAATTTGCACAATTTAGATGAAACACATCAGAGAAAATATCACAATGATTATTTTAGATTCAATTTAGTATTTAGTAATAGATCCCTTTCCCCTAAATCTTACACACTGGACCTTTAATGCTATAACACCACCATAACCATTAGCAGTGGTTCCCAAACTAGGGCCCCCCTGGAAAGCCACAAGACAATAAGAGGGGGTTGTGAAATGATTTCCAGAAACCAGTTCCAATTTAAAATCGATTGTAGCAATAATTGTTACAAATGATAAAAAAATAATAGTTAAATGAAAAACATACATTTTCTTTGTCCCAAACTGGCCCCCGATTATGACAGATAAGAAGCATCATTTGCAGCAGGTCAGTTAACAGCAACCCATAAAATGTTGCAAGATATGTACGTAGTTGATTTCCTTTTTTGGGGGGGGGGGTTACATTTTCTAAACGTTGTCCATACTGCAAATATTTGGACAGTTACACATGTTTTGCTGCAGTACATGTATTTTGACATGGGACAAAAAAACTCAGCTTTTTTGCAGTAGATTTACATCAGCATTAAAATATTCTAAACAATCTACCCACCCCCCAAAACAGTGGATGTTTGAGCAGTTGTCCCTCTGTTTGTCCCTTAGCTGGATGATGAAGCCATGGCCTCCATGTTGGCTGATTTTGTCGCCTGTCCACCAGATGATGAAGATGGTGCCTCTGGATCAAACCGCTCATAAACACTTGCCAACCATAACTGTAATGTTATTAAAGTCACCATGAATACTGCTAAGATACTGTATTATTAGTGACACTTTCAAGACTGAGTTACCTCATAACAAGTCCTGTGTAAACATTTTCTGTCATTCTTCAATGTTCACTAGACATTCACTAGTCATTAGACTGGTAGAATGTGGACTCCAGGTTTGTCTTTTAAGGTTGCAGACTTTTAACTTAATCACAAACTAGTTTTACTTGTGGTTTTTCTACAATTCCATTTACTGCCACCCAGCAAGGAGGTGCAGCTCTGTGAAGTGTGTCACTCAAATGCTTTTTGTGTAGAGTACATATGATCCTACAGTGAAGTGTTTTGCTTGGATTTACATGTACCTTTTGTGCACTTCATGTTTTGTTATTACTGGCATGTTCTTTGTTATAAAAAAGTACAGAAAATCCAATTTATGTACAATATTCCAAACTTTCTCACAACAATAAGTAAGGTTTTTGTTTATTTTTTTTAAAGGGTTGGTTCACTCACTAAACATGACACCATCATCTAAGCTGACAGATATCTGACAACATTTATGAGAAAAACAGAACTGCAAATGGACAAATGCCTCTAGAGAGAGAGGAGGGAGATGTGTCATTAATTTGGATGTCACCTTTGTGACAACTTTACAGCTTCTCTCTTACCATAGTATTCTGTTTCTGTAGAGATACAGAAACATCAGCATACGCTACAGTCCAAAAAACAAGACAAGGAAATTATACAATCTTCACCAACGGACATCAGTCTAACTGCAGCTTTGGAAATATCAAGCAGAACAAGACGTAACACTAACTTCATGTTTTGCAGAGCTTCTGGTGGTGTGTCACAACCATCTGCTCTTCATTGAAACATTGTGCGGCTGAGAGGCAGCTTTTCCGTTTCACTTTTTCTATGAACACATCAAACACATGGGGACATATTCAAAACGAGTTGCTCCTAACGATAAACACAGGTAGTTTGTCCAGTCTGGACCCAGACCAACTTTTACTTGGTCTGGTTTTTGGTAGTTACTCTCCAACAAACACTGTTATACTGACTGACCAGCATCACAGGGACTCAAATTTTAGCCATGTTCCCTTGTTACTATCAAGTAGATTCAGAACTAACATTACCAGCATTGTACTTAAACATTAGGAAATAAAAGAGCAAGGCTGCTGTAGTTCAATAACTTTTTTTTAAATTTTAAAATATGACTCAAAATATTGATGTTCATTACATAAAACCAAAGAGTCAACTACACCATGTCATTCACAGAGACCTACCTTTTAATCATACCTGACAACAACAAACTCGACC